TTGAGGCATAAAAGCAGCAGGGAGAGAGAGCAATCAAAAGAAGATTTAGATTCCCCAGTAGAGACAGCGCACATATTGAGAGGTGGGTCGACTCCCACAACCGCCGAAAGCTCTACTCTATTCACCCTGACACATTAGTATTCTAATGCCAGTGGGAATATGTATGACTGCCTCTGAGAGAAAGAGATGCACAAGCCTGTGCCAGAGGAGCAGGGGGGAAGACAATGAAGGGGTAAATAGAAGAGAGACATTAATGTGGTAAAGACCTGTAGGGAGGGAAGCATTAACACCATAGAGGGGGTTTATATGAAGACAACATTTATCTCCCTGCAGTCATTGTCTGTGTCTCCATGCCGACACAGCAGCACTTTAAGGCCAGAGGGGCTCTCTTCTCATGGCTGTGCACCCTGGTTCACCTTTAAAGTCACACAGTGAATTGATAATGATAAATTAGCCTGCAGCTTTTGTTCTACAAAGCTTGTTTTCGGTTATAGTTTAACCTCATGTGCGGACATCCTTTACTTAAGTAAAAGTACCAATACCACAAAGTACAAATACTCTTTTACAAGCAAAGGTCCTGCATTTTAAATCCTACTTGAGTAAAAGTACTGAAATATTAACAGCAAAATGTACTATGAGTCTGAAAAATGAAAGTACTAGCTGGCCGTGGTGGAACTAGTTTTATTTACTTTATATACAGTTAGTTTAGTCCAGTGGATCCCAATTCAGGGGTCAGGCCTTCAAATGGTAACAACATCAATTGGAGATGAGTAATATGAAGAAATAACAAAGTTCCTCTTACAAATATCTATAATGTTTGCTTTTTTGTTAAATAAGAAGAAGGTTGTGTTGAGCCTGAAACACCTGAACACTGAACTTGGGTAGTTCACTCTTGACTTTCACGCCTGCATCAGACTGACTAAACATATGTACACAACAACCTGATGCTTGTGAATATTTTCAGCGATTTGGATCAACTTGAAGCCCTGTGTCAAAATGCATTTGCTATGGTCCCCTAATAACTCAGGCTAATCACTTTAGCATTGTCTGTAAGGGCACAATGTGTCCCCTCATGTCCTGTATCCTAGCAAGGGGGCTAGGGAGCGGGCTGGTGACGGTGTGTTGAATTTGGGTGACAGGGCCCCAGTGGGAGTGGGCGCCCCCCTGTCCCCTAGCTAATCCCTGGGAGAAAGGGCCTGCATTTAGGGTGCGATACGCTTAATCCGGGGGGGCCTAGTTCACAAAGGAGCCTGGCACTTCCTCTGGCCTGGGAGCTTCCGCTGGTCTGGGGGGCCTACCTTGGGTGCCAGTACAAACATGGGCCAATAATACACGTCCGCGTTGCAATGGCACAAACAATACATGACATATAGACACTCGTACACAGACACATGGGACAGTGGACAGGGGAGTGAGCATAGGAGGATAAAAAAAACGTGTAAATTCACACTGTCCTAATGGGGAGCCAATACAAACAAGCAGCCCACGCTCAGCAAGAGCAAACACACACACATAAAACACACACACACACACATCCTACATACTGTGGGCAGAGGCAGTGTTTACATTCTGCTGAAACATTATGATGAAACAAAGCTTGTGTGTACTGCAAAAAGAGAGGGAACCAACCGCTCACTGCCTATAGAGAGTTTCATATTCACAAACAGGAAGACAGCGTCATGTAATAGACCCTTCAGAGGCTGCATGGAGTCCCGGGTTACTCACAAACAGTAGATGTGATCAGGGGGTGTTTGTGGATGACGCATGAGCTTCAGCTCCGTCAGCATTTCTTTTCCTGCTGGAAGGGAAAATGATTATTTAAAAAAGATAAAAATCTGCACAACTGTTCTTTTCCTAAATCCACTTTTCTCTCTTATATACCACAAAAGCAAATATTAGTCACCAAGGCAGCACATATCATTTAGAGACATTCATGTCAACAGCTGAGGGATATGATTCCATATTTATCTGAAACAATTTCACACAGTTTGGAAAAAGGGAAATACGTCAGGAATGGTGTCTCTTTTCCTTCATTTACGGACATGCTTTTCCTTCCCATACTATTTCACGCTGACACATCTTCTTTCCTCTGTGGGTCACCTTGGCATTTTCACTTGGTCACAATAAATGTGTGGAGACTGCCACAGCAGATAGTGGAGAGGAGGAGCGTTTTAGTTGTGTAACAGAATAGAGATACAAATACTTCTAACCGACAACCAATAGCCATTTACTTGAGCTTATACTGACATCTAGACTGCCCTCATAACAAGTGACACTTCAACTATTAACAAAGCACACACTTCAACTAATTCTGGCACTACAACTTCTTCAACTGAAATTTCAATTCCTTTCATCTTTCACATCTCAACTAACTTGTCAAGTTCTTTCATCTTTTCCTCTTTAAAATAGTCTTTCATCGCTGACACACTGACTGACATCTCAGCAGCTTTCATCTCAGCAAACACTTCCACTACTTTCACAAGCTGACATTTCAACTGCAGATGGGACACAAACTTGAAACCAAATTTGCAAACGCTTTCACTTATTACAATTCAACGAATTCTTACAAAATGTTTGCTCTTAGAATTCAACAGGCATTTCCATTCCTTTCACTACTTCCCATACGACATGTCACATGCAAATAATAAACGTTAAGATAGTCAGTGTGCAATTTTCAGTGCACACCTACATTTTCTTCAGAATAAAATAATAGCTCTTTAGGTTATCTTACTACAGGGTCATACTCTCCTTTCCCAGCTTCTTGGCAGTCTCTTTACTTTCCAGTGTCACAAACCCCAACCATTTGGCACCAACACAGCCTAAAATAAACCATAGGGATATTTAAACCATCTCTGTGACTCAGGTCCGACATGAAAATAAAGCCTTCTTTCCAAGCCTCTTTATTCTGAATGCTGACCTTTGGCTGAACGGTATTTCAGCAGCAGAGCGTGGTCAGTACAGGCCTCATATCTAATAAGAATTATGAGCAGTGACACAATTATATATCAGGGTAATGTCCAAACTCTGCCATGCTGTGTTTTGCAGCATTATGGACTCATTATAAAATAGCCGACCGGACCAGGCCACTTGTTTTGACAGAATGAGGTCCACCACAGCACTGGCACATGTTTTCTTATGTGTGGCGTCCACCAAGACTAACTACTTGTGACAGTGCCAGGAGTCTGAGTGTGAGTGTGAGAGTGTGTGTGTGTGTGTGTGTGTGTGTGTGCCTGTGTGAGTGCACATTAAGTCCAAGGGGGAGCATGCCTAATGTGGGAAAGAAACAGTCAATCCAAGAGGGCCACTAGCCAGCATCAGTGTTCCCCTCTTGGAGAATTAGCCTGTCAATCCATCTTAATTCTTGAGGACACAGGCTGCTCTTAAACCCAGGTTGAGATTAAACTTGAGATACTGACTCTCTCAACTGTATTCTTGGGATTGGGTGCAGACATGCAGGCTGGCATAATGGGTGGCATGTCAGGCCACACTGGAGAGCAGAGCTGCTGCACAAATACAAGTCTAGTCCAGGGCCGGGCTGATGTTTTACAGTCTGTGGTTACACTTTTCACTCAGTTAGCTGCAGGAAGGTGTGTTTCTAGGTGCGCATCCAGAAGAATAGGATACTCGACCCGCTAAGTTAGAGCTATCCCACACACAACTTGGCTAACCACCTCAGCAATTCATTCGTGTGCGCGAGAGGATTTAAAAAGTATATTTATTGAGCACTGTTAATGTTGTGGGTGGAAAATAAATATTATCATGTAGTTTTACCTCTAATCTTAAAACCATTGTTTGTTTGTTTGTTAGTGTAGTCTGCTGCTGGCTTTAATCCACAACTTGACATCCTGCCTCCATTGTTCACGGGCTTAATTGCATTTTGTGGAACATAGTATGAACTTTTAAGGACGTGCACAACCAACACTCTGCGCACTCTATCGTAATATCTATCGTCATCGCAATAACAAATGACAGATAATGTGATAGTACAGTATATACTGTGCAGTAGAACAGTTGCTATTTGCACTGTAACTATGGATGTAACTATTGATTACTTTTTAATACAAAGAAACAAAATCTTAATTTCTTTAATATCAAGGCAATGTTTTGAGTTATAAGAGACGGTCTTTTGCATGATTTCCAAGTTGATTTATCAGCGATGGACATCATAGATTTGAGAGAACTTTGAAAGAAAAATAAACTAGAATTACCGCGTCATGGTTTTATGCCTCCATCAACCAGTCAAGTTGCAGTTTACATCCTTTGTCTGTCCAAAACCTCATCACTTCATCTTATCAGACATTTGTGTGAAACTCAACTCTTGAGTTATTTCTCACAGCGACCAGATTCTACAGTGAATCCTCGAGTCCAGGTGGATGTTTGTCCCGGGTTTAAGGAAATTGCCTTTGTACTATCCTGAGGACTGGACGGACTAAAAAAAAAAAAAAGAAGAACATAATGCCTCCAACCACGGCTGTTGCCGGCAAGGAATTGCCATCGATCTGGTTTAGAGCATTAATCTGAGATTAATGTAAAGCCCAAAAAAGGGGTTGCAGCTACAACATTTACACAGTTTTTTTGGAGTTAACACTCTTACCAGGTGATCTGTTAAATCTGAAATCGGTTACATAACTAGTTAAAGTTAAACTAGCAAGCCTGCCTGCTGGCACCAGCTGAGCCGAGCCCTGCTCTGGCTGAGAGATGAGCTGCTGTTGACACACTGTTTGAGGGAGAGAGGCAATAGGCGTTTTGTGTTCTGCCGGCTCATATATCCAACACCTGTTGCTTGGCCCAATTCAACAAGTCAAGCATGTACAGTATCTCTGGGCATGCATGTGTTTTAGTATGTTTATATTTTTACACTGACGAATGTATATGTGAAGAAATATACACAGTTTGTGGCAGCTAGAGGACTCCCAGAATTTGTTCCCAAAATTCCACTGCCGGTGGATTCAGGGTTGTGTTGAATAATTAGCAAGCAAAGGAAAGCCACAAAATTCGAGTAAGGAATATACAACCCATTTATTTGGCTTAACTGAAAATAACAGTGTCAATATTAAAAGAAAAGCAAATCAAGCTATAAATATTACAGACAAAAGCATTAAAAACAGTGAGTTTACTGCTATCAATAAACCCAGTGATTGAAAAAATAAATAAAAAAATCATGTTGTGGTGTATAAGTATGGAGATTAAAAAAAAAATCATGTTGTGGTGTAGTGAAGTTTAGAGATATCATGGAAGCAACGGACAACCAAAATCACTGAACATTCAAAAGGACAACATGCTTACATCTAAACATAATTTGAGAATGGACGCTGCAGGAATAATTGACGAATAAAGCGTAAATAAATGTGAATGAGACATAAGTGATGAATGAGGCCAACGGGTGAATGGATACATACATAGATAGTGAGAGGCTACTGCGTTTCTTCCAGCTTTTGCAGAGCTAAGCGCGGTGAGACTACTGGGAGCGGCAGCAGAAAGCACTTTCACAGACACTGAGGAGACGCACAGACGTCTACATGAACAGACAGACGTTGCTGTGGGGCCGTGTATTCAGGTACATATTAAAAAGGTGCAGTGGTGCGACGCTGTGTGTTTAGGCGCGGTAGAGCAGGATCTTCTCAGCACAGTCCTGGCCAACCAAGTCGGCGTACTGCTGCACCTCCAGCTCGTCGCTGGAGCCTTTGCGCTTGCGGGAGTAGGCTGCGTAGGGCATCACGGCCCGCCTGTATAGCACCAGAGCTCTGCCCACGTCCTTCAGCACCCGAGCATCTCCTGGACACAAACACAAGGACATAATGAGGAGCAGTGGAGACACATCAAGCAAAGTTAACATTGGCCTTGTTTTCCCTCCTTCTTATGAGTTAACCTCTGAGTGACTTGGCAAGGATACGCCATTGTTCCGAGAAGCTGTCCCCCCCCCAGCTCTAATTCCCCTTTGCCCTAAACCTGGAGTCACAGTGGTGTGTGAGCAGGATAGTTCGTTGGCCTTGTTTACGGGGCCTTGCTCCCTGCTGCCTTGCCAAACTCGGCATTTCATTAGGTCCCGTGTCGTACACTGCCAGCTCCCATCAGACCAGTGAAAACACTGCTAATCTCTACACTGTGCGTGTTCAGCAGCTACAAATGGTCCTCTGGAGAGTTGGATGGAAAGCAAACAAAAAAAAAAGGGGGGGTAAAAACCAGATGACCCTCTCTCTGCCACTAAAACAGCTGCCTCCAGGAGTGCGAGGTTGAGCCAAGCTGCCCACAGCTGGCGCCAAGACGACACGCAAGGGAGCGTCACAGCAGGCGGTATCAACTGAGCCAACCTAACCCAGATATACCGCACACAATGTGTGACTGCAAGGGGGTCTCCAAATCCATCGTGAGCTCTAATCATCTTCCACTCCAGTCAGAATTGAGGAGTCCTTCATTTGCATTCACTGGGAGTTCAATAAGTATCCGACATCTAGTCCCTCTAATTGCCCTCTTAACATCCCCTCATCTCTTCGCGAAGCCCCTCAGCTCGTCTTCTCCGAGCATTCTGCCGTTACAACAATTTTAAATTCATACCGTGCCTTCTGAAATGTACCCCCCCCCCCCCCCTCCCTCCCTCCCTTAGAAACTCTACAGTACTTCATTCAACCAGTCTGTCCTGTCTGGAGCAATCCTGGTCTGGCCTAGCTAAGAGGAAGCAGATGAAAATAAACTTCAGGCCACGGAGTGGAGTGGAATAGCTTGCCAGGTCCATGGCGACACATCAGTCAAACAGGAGCGAGTTAGATTTGATATTAATAGAGCTCAGAGGCCTCCCACCCGCCACTACCGCTCCCCATGACAACACCCATGTGGCTCACAGCTGAGCACCCAGGTGGTACGAGTGAGCCGAGCGCACATATTTCTGCCTAATTCCTAAAATATTCGCCACAGCTCTGCTAAATCCCACCTGATCACCTAATAAACTGGGGAAACAAGACAACAAAGAGAAAAGCTGCTAAACGGTGATGTAATGCCACAAACAAGTCTTTTCTCTTGTGCCAGATGTTAAAAGGGATCCTCCGGTGTAAGAGGCACTCCGGCTGAACCGTGACTATTCGGAGGGCTGGGTGTGATCAGAAACTTGTTAAAAGCAACATGAGTCAACCGCCTTTGTTGCAGATAAAATGCACGTTGAGATCTCACAAATGAGAGATTTTAAACAGTCACGTGTGTAGGTGGATAGACCGTGAGTGAATATCCCAACTGTTCAACTTAGCACCGACGCCAACTGAAAATCAAGCCAGAGGACAGAAGAGTGCTCGTTATCAACACAAAGCCCTGAGGCTCTTTAGCTCTCACCCCCCCCTCAATCTGCATAGACATCTTCATATTTCAACTTTTATTCTTTTACTTTCAAAGTTCCCTGTGGATTCATATTTTATTTATTAGCCTCATTTCCCTGCTCAGTAATGCCCTAACCACTGTGTCTTTCCCCTTTTCCAGAAACTGCTGAGTCACATAATTGAGGAATGCTTGATATAAACTTTTAAACTAAGAAAATCAGCAGTACGTGAAGCTTCGCCATGAGGGCGGGGGGGGGGGAATGGGTTCTAAAAAGACATAAACATGTTGTGTAACTTCCACATGACCGTGATTTTGGTCCATGAAGAATTAATGGGTTCCTGATGGGATGACAGTCAAAAGTATTTAAATTTTCAATGCTTCCTAAATAACTTAAGCTGCCCTCGGCATCGTCTCTCTAAGCGCTATGTGCCTCCTCCTCCTGTTTATCCGTGAGACAGCCCACTTGCGCAACATTTGTTTACTCAAATGTGACACTGCTCCCGAGCACCACTGTCCCCCTGTGAAGATATAAAGTAGTGAACGCATCACAGATTTAAACAGAGAGCAGCATGTAGCTTTCAGACGGTCTATTAACCCTAACAGTAACACAGAGCATCAGCCCCATCTCTCCTTCTCTCTTACTCAAGGCAAACCAAACATCCGCTCCTCACGTAAACATCTTTCACTGCTTCTTCACTCACTCCGTCCTCCACCAGTACCCCCCCCTCTCCCCTCATCTTGAGTGGCTCCAGACCCCGTTCCCGCCAGGCACACCGGACGTTCAGTGACACGCCGCTCTGAGGGTCACGGCTCCTCAGAGTCGGGGGTTCAAGGGTCGGGGGGAAGAGGAGTGGTGAGGGTCGGCGAGGGAGTGAGAGGGTCAGAGTCGAGGCTAAGGAGCCTCGACACCTCGGCCACGCTCCTCTCTCTCTCTTCCCATCCATCTCCAGCTTTCAGAACACTTGCTTAACACCGGACGCCGGTCAAAGGCAGGCCATCAGGTCATGACCGTCTCCTATGACCCAATGTTGCAAAATCCAAAAAAAACAGAGCTTACGTTTGAAAAGAAAGAGGACTGCACTTTGACCATAAGACCTGGGTTCAAGCCCTTGTGTTGGCACACAGCCGTCCAGCTGACCCTGCATCTCTGTAGCCGAACCATGAATTTTGACCTCCTCCGTAAAGAAAGCAACAAGAGAATTCCCCTGGACTTTGAAAGGATATTATTATCATTATTGTTACTAAAATGAGGGACAGGTTCTTCTGCAGCAGAAAAAAAAGCTACCTCCCGCTTTATAACAAGAAACAGAGAGGAGTGATAACTGTCTCCCCTCCACTCTGAATGGGAACATTAGCACGAGTCGGGCTAAGTAGCGGAAAGCCTTCTGAAGAGCAGAGCAAAGTGGCTCCGACAGGGAGACAAGATATGAAAGTGTAAACTGTAAGAGCTGGAAACATGGAGGCAGAAGGAGTCACGGGTGGTGGGTGCTGTCAGGCTAGCGTGTTCGTATGAGACCAATAGTCCACGTTAACAGTTAAGATAGTTTTCTAAATGCATCGTGTAGTTTGTATATCGCAGTGCGTAATTGTGTGCGTCTGGTTTGGCGCCTGCTGGACGCACTCGAGGCCCAGGGGGTGACTACTTATGTCACATTTTTTTGTGTGTTTATCCTGCTGAGCGGGCAATGCCCCTACTTCTTTCTCCCTCAAGCAAACACTAGATTATGAGTGTGTGAGAGATAACACATATGTGCTGTATAGACTGTGTGTGTGTGTACTGTATGTACTTTTGCTAGAGCCCTAGAGTGCTCGATGTGTCAGCAACAGGCATGTAATCAATGTGAGCCTGCTTTGGACAGAGTAGCGTAAACTTTGGATTAGCTGTCTTTACACACCTCATTAAGACTGTAGCTCTGTAACCTGGTCACCCGGGTTCACAATCTGAACGCACACCCAGCAACCCTAATTCTCTTTCACCCCTGGGTGAGGTTTGGAGTTCGAGGCAAGCCTTAGTTGGGGACTTTGCTGACAGTTTGAAAACTGAAATTTCTTAACCAAAAATGTTATTTTTAGATAAAGAACCCTTGTTCTCAGGTTCTCACTTTCAAGTATTCCAAGTTGATTTATCAACTTGGAATACTTGATTTATGTGGACATGACTGGAGATTGTACTGAAAGTGTAATTGTTATTTTTGGGCTCGACAAAAAGACAACATGCATTCAACCAACTACTACAAGACTTCAAGGAGGAGGAGATACTTCAGAGCATCTTAAAGTGTTTCTTTTGATCCGCTAAAAACATGCTCTGACTTGTAGTGTGAATTCTTTGAAAATATGTATATTCCTACATTCCTACATTCCTAACCCTAATCTCTACCAAGCTTTGTAATTTATCTCTCAGTAGCACATTTATTTGATGCATCATAAACTTAGCTTAACTCTGTTCATAGGGTTATGGATACAAATTTCAGGAGCTGTATTTGACGAACAGCCTAAATGTGGTCGAGATAAATGACACATTGTGTTGAACGTTTATTGTAAATAAACAGAAAGAAACAAAGATAAGTGTGACACTCTTATTTCATGAAAGCACAGTCAGCAAAAATATCATTATCACAACACACTAAAACAGCGAGGGTACTTTAAACGGGCTTAGAAATATATTAATCATGAGATGCTAAGAAAACATTAAAATTGCAATTAAAAGACAATAAAGACAAGCAAAGCGAGAAAAATATGCAAATGAATAGCCGTAGATTAGAGAGAAATTGGATTTTAAAAAGCAATAAAAACAATAAGCAAAAGCAAGCAAATAAATAGTCACAGATAAAACACAAGTTATTCATCTAATTTATTGGAAAGCAGCAGTAAACAATTGGGTTTTAAGCCCTGATTTAAAAGTAGCTGGCAGTTTCAGCAGACCTCAGGTACTGAGCTGGCTTGTTCCACAGGTGGGGAGCATAGAAACTAGAAGCCGCTGCACCTCCCTTAGCTTTGACCCAGGTAACACTCAGTAAACCCCCCCACACATCACCGGAGGGGTCTGGATGCTTCGTAACAAGCAAGTAAATCAGAGATGTGTTTAGGCCCCGAGACCATTTGGTAACAGGATTCTGCATCTCAGGAAGTCAATGCAGTGATTCAAGGACCGGTGTAATGTGCTGCCCTCTCTTTGTGTTCGTGAGGTCTCATCATTCTGCACGAGCTGCAGCTGATTTTTCTAAGACCTGTAAAGACACATTACAATAGTCTAGCCTGCTGAAGATAAATGCATGTACACGTTTTTCTGCATCTTGATGAGACAGAAATCCTTTAAATTAAAGCTATAGAAAAGTTACTGCCTAAAAGATACATAGGAGATTCTTACACCATTAATTGCAGTCAGGACTTCCCCAGGCCAACAAATTGCAAGATGTCTTTATTAAGGACACAAAGAAGCCACTTATTGATATATTGCCAAATTAAATAAATTGTATTTCTGGAGACGACAGAACCCTCCACACAAGCACGGCAGTCTGGCACCACGCAGCTTGGCAACAGACCTGAGAGCTAACCATCAAGACAGCTAGCACTGAAATTTAACGAGACTGCTTTTCGGACAGCCAGGCCTTCAATAACAAAAATGTCGGGACTTGTCCAAGATCATCAGTCCACGATGGAGGCACCACAAGAGCCACTGACACACAAACACTCTGGCCACAGTGAAAACGGCTAACTCTGAAACTGCCACCTGACCTCAGTCATTTGTGCCCACTCTGGGATTAATGGTATGACTGACAAGAAAATGTCAGATCTACCGCCGGCTAAGCAGTTTATGGCAACCTGCTAAATAACCATCCATCTTTTAAAGGACGGGATTAAAAGGACCTTTTCTCCCGGGTGTGGTGCTTTCACCACCACTTGAGTCAACAAGGAAGACTAGCCATGAAATCAAAAAGGTAGAGTCCTTATTTCCTTGAGACAAGTGTTAACATTTTATTTTATGAAAGTGGCATCAATGCCACAGACTGTATAACAGGTAACATCAGCCATTGGTTTGAGTTCATAATTTTGGCTGTGCCGTCTTGTTTTTTTGCAATCAGAAGTGACACGAGAGGTTGCATCCAAGTACAACCGAATGCCAAATAAGACCTTTTTAAAACGACCAAAACCGTTACAATTAACTGTCATGAACTGAAAACAAATTCTGAAAGGGTTAGAGTTGCAAGACGACAACACGGACAACTCCAAGGCCGGACAACGCCGTGGCAGCCCACCCTAAAGCATAGGGGTAGTTCATCATCTAGTTTACTATAAATGGGACCCTATGGATCATGCTGCTTTGAAGAAGACTTGAAACTAGCGATTGAGACCATAAACTCACGTTTATAATGTCTACTGAGGTAATAAATCAAGTGAGAAGTAGAGTCATTTTCTCATAGACTTCTATACAATCAGAGTTGCCCCCTGATGGCCAGTAGAGAGAATGCAAGTTCAAGGCACTTCAGCATTGGCTTCACTCTTCAGATCCAGAGGCTGCCTCCTGATCAGTGCCAGAGAGCGCTTTCTTCTTTGAAGTTTATCATTTGTGTTGGTCTCTGCATGGCATGAGTCCAGGTATGACCTCACTACAGCAAACTCTTGAGCCGCATTTCTCCAGAATCACATATCCTTCTTCCTCCTCCACCTCCCTGTCAATCTGTCTCTCATTGTATTGTGCTTCTCTCTCTTCTAGTGCCAGCACACAACTGCCAGCCTGCCTCCCTTTCACTTCAAATCTCTATAAAAGCATTTCCATCACGTCTCCCCAGTCTATCTTTCCATCCATTCTTCTATTACTCCATCTCTTACTCTTCATCTATCAATCCTAGTCTACTTGACATCTCCCATTACTGTCTATCAGTGGCTCCTTCCTGTTCGGTGCCTGTTTGGTGATGCAGATGAATGGGAAAGAGTAAGCAGGAGACGGCTGGCCCCTGCACAATCAACCACTCGGGTGGAAACACTTGCAATATACATATTATGTATGTGTGTACTTTACCAACAACCTCCAGTCATCTCCTGTCATACAGTATCTGTACAGTAAAACCTATTTAACTTCTTCATTCCGAGGCTGAGAAGTGCCCTACACTGGACCATGTCAGTCTACATGAGGTGGGAGTCTTTCTGCTCCGCATGCAGAGCCATAACATGGAAACTATTTCAGTTACATTTTTGTGGGAGCTGCAGGACATTCACTGAAAAAAGAGCACAAATATGCAAAATCCATACAGCAGCGTTAGCAGAGACTGATTAAAGGAGTAATAAAGGAGATAGAAAATGTATAAGTCTTTCTAGTCATGCATCTATGCAAAAAAAAAAAAAAAAAAAAAAAAAAAAATCATTCAAATCTTTCCTCTCAGACTCTGTTAAAAACTCTCCCTGCCCCCCATCTCACAGCTCGCCAGTCCAGGCGATGGGCGTCTGCCAGTCTACCTTCTGCATGTGGTTTATTAGAGCAAAGATCACTATTCATCTAATGGCAACATGGTCCTTCCATAATGACTCCGCTGGCTCTGCTCTGGCCATGCTGAAGGATCATGGTGGAGCGAGGACTGTGGGAGCCGGGTTCAATGCTACCTCGGAGCAAGTCCACAGATTTCAATACAGCACCACCGTGAAACTGGATCAGATGTCAACACAAGGTTCAGAGCAGCGTGTAGGAAGAACTGGAGGATTCTAAGACGGAGCTCAAAGTGGCAGGTCAGTCATTTTCAGACGTTAAATGAATAACGGTAACGGTAGAGTGTTACATAGTTGTACCTGCATCAGGATCCTGGTTGAATCGAGCATAGCTGGAGTTCTCCAACTGGAGTACGCATTGCTCTATTGGTACCCAGGCAAAGGTTTCTGGGCACAGGAGGTCTGAAGGCCGGTACTGCCCCTGGGGATACAAAAGGGACAGAGAGAGGGAGAAAGAGGGTTAGGCCTCCTGCTTGAAAATCGATTAGTTATGAACGGTTTTGTTCGGCGAAAATGCCAAACTCTTGCTTTTAACGAATTTCCTTCATTATTTTATATTGCCATAAATTCCTTAATATCGTTTGTTGGACACAACAAGCAAATTAAATACATAATTTTCGTTTTTGAGCATTGTTAACGATATTCTAACATTTCATAGACTAATAAATACACAAAACGGATAAATCAATATTGAAAACAATCATCAGTTACAGCCTTGGTAACACTAATTGACACTACTAGGGCTGTTCCTTCTTAGAAGATTTATCGGCCATTTTGGCCTTACAGTCGACTAAGATACATTTTGTCGATTAGTCTTTCTTTATGCTTTATTCACGCTGAATGACTTATTTCCAAGAAACTTATGAGCATATCTCTGGTAAACACAATATGTAAAGTGGTGCTTTTGTGTGGAAAAAAGATTTAATCAACAAAAATCGTACGAGTGCAAGTCGTCTAAGAATCTCTTTGGTCGAGGACAGCCCTACACACTATACGCTTGTAACCTTTTAGGGTTAAAGGTTTGACAAGTTGTAAACTGACCTCAGGGTCAGGATCAGGGGTGAGACCTGGATCAAGCTCTGCTCTGTTTGAGTTCTTTGTTTGAGTCTCTGTGTCAGGAGTGTTATGTTGTCTGCGAGGCCGAGCAGGAAATGTAAACACACCAGCATATTGTAATGTGTGCTTGTGAAATGGGTACAAGTCCGTATTTGACCTAACATTGTGGATGGAAAGTAAACCAAGCTGAACAAAAACAGCTGCAGGGCACAGAGGGGAAAAAAAAAAAAAAGTGAAGCGGTTGAATGAACAGAAAAGGAGGAGACTCCATTATCAGAGACCTGTGTTCCATCACACACCACCAAACAAACACAAACGGCTGAGATAGCTCTGTATACACGCAGGCGCCTGCAACAAGCCCAACGATAGTATTTATTTTTTTAGAGACAACAAACTGGAGGGCGAAGACTCCAACATTTCACGAACACACTGTTTCATACACAGCTGAGGTCAAAAAGTGCAGGACGAGAGAGAGAAAAAAGCAGATGCAGATGCAGATGTCATTACGAACTCAAAATAAGCAAGACAAAGGAAATGCCATCCGTGGTGCTGTGACCACGACCCATATGTCACTGGGCCTTTATGGAAAATATGCTGCTTGTTTTTACATGCAGGATAAGGACGCCATGAGAGTGAACTACGCTGCTTTACAGCACTGAGAAATGGAAAACAGTAGAGTCATAGTTAAGCTTTTCCCTCCTCATCTTCAGCCACCTTTCTGCTGCGCGCCATAACTAAGCAAAGGAGTGCGGGGAGAAACGCCAAAATGTATTACTAAATTCATCCAATCATACAGGACAAAACTGATGTACAGGCTGTGCTGGGGGGGGGGGGCATGTCAGATGGAAGCAGAAGACACTAACGCGCTTTAAGTGCCTCCGCTAACAGATGGATGGTGGTGGAATGCTATGCATCTGTAGCAGCGATGGACACACACATTGATCGGATGCTCTCAGTGTCCCGACAACCTACAGCCTTCTACAACTGTCAGCGCATTCAGCTCGACACTCGCACACTCTGCCACACCTCTATAGGCTCCTTCAACACAGAAAGCACGCGCACGCGCACGCACACGCACACGCACACGCACACACACACACACACACACACACACACGCGCGCTATAGGACTCGGCACACCCGGCATTGCGCTTCAACCCGACCCGGGTGCGTAGAGGGAGACGCAGAGCAGAAACAAGAGGTGCGAATGGAGTAGCTAGTCTTAAAACAGAAAGCGTAAGAGAGATAGGAGAAGAATGAGCTAGGACAGACTTTTGGGAATGCCACTAGTCCATGAAGAAAAGCAGTCGTGTTTTTGTGTTGCACTTTATTTCTTTTGTAAATGCACACCGATACAAAGTGGATTCCTGACTTCTGAAGGCCTCCGTTTTGAGGGTTACCCAAAATGATATTTCCAGTCCTTTGTTGTGAGGCTTCAACAGAAAGAGAGGTCTATCTGAAGAGGGGAGGGAGAGAGAGGAGAGAGAGAAAGAGCGCAAGAGAGAGAGAAGTCATGGCACATGTGCAATTCCTTCTGTCAGCTTCTTCTCTTTATTGGACTGAACTTGAAGACTGAGCTTACAGCTGACTTTCTTTATTTTCTTCCTTCCCCAGGTTGTCTTGAAGGCCCTGTAATTCACCACTACCCCTGCAGCTTCCCTTGGCTCTGCTTCAGCGTCAGCTTGCTCACAACATCCATCACATTATCTAACTGTAACTTAGAACAGAGGATGCAGTAATGGTTTCCTGAAACTTAGATCCTTGAGAGAGAAGACCGATGTGAAGAGTCTAAGAGCCAATCTAATAGCTGGGAGTTAAAATGGTCAATTCCTACAAATCTATGTTCCTGAGTGGCCGTTAGCTTAGCGAGTGTTGTGAAAAAGGACACAGGAAGTGATGGTTTGTGTGCGTGTGCACATGTGTTTTTGAATGTGTCCACACAATTGAGTTAGCTACACGGCCGATCAACAGGTTGAGGGTTTCCCCAGACGAAGAATATCTTTTTGGTTTGGTGGTCCTCTCTTCAGTGGCTCCGTTCCTCCCTTTCTAAGTGCTCAAACCCTCCCTCACGAACCAATCCGTCACCATCCCTCCCATCCTTCCCTCCTTTCTGTGCTCGCATGTTCAGACAGATATGGAGGTGATGCCGATGACTGACAAGCCCCGAAAGGCTCGTTTAGAGAGATGGAAACGGAGCTGGGGGATGAAAAAAAACAAGTGGAGAAAGAAGGAAACATGTACAAACTTTAGCGGGACAGACTTGGCTGCTGCCGGAGGGGTGAGAAAGGAGAGGAAGATTAGACGGAGACGGGGAGGGACGAGAGAAAAATTAGGTGCAGATGGGTAACGGGATGGTAGTTAACGTCACAGACGAGGACTGAGGCGAACAGATAGGAGCAGTCTGGGTGCCAGGACGAAAGGGGCCCAGGACTGAGAGAGGATGTTGGAAGACTGGGATGAAGAGGGGGGGGGGGCTTGGAAAGAGCCCGACGTGGGGGAAGAGCTAAGCAGACAGAGGGTGGGGATGGAGACGAGAGGGAAGACAGACGGATTAGAAAAATAAAGAGCTGCATTCAATCGCCGCCCCATAAAACAAAATGGAGACTATGCGCTTACAGGTCGGAGAATGCACTCAGTCAGTCAGATCTATTGTTGTGCAGTGTGTTTGTTACCGTTCATAGGGAGGCGATCTTCTTCCCGATGAACTGAACTTTAACAAGACAGAGGGGGAAATTGCTCAACCTCATTTGAATAACAAGCTGCCGCCGAGTAAACAATTGCACAACCTCATTCATCAAAAGTAAATAAACACATATCTCCACCAGGGCTCGACATGCAGTTACACAATACTTTGCAGATCTATTATCACTCCGAGCTCCCTCGGTGACACAGCATCACTCATTCTTTTCAGGCCACACAGACTTTATACACACATACACACACAGATAGCAGAGGCCCTGCTGTCAGAGGGAACTTTATTACCAACTCAACCACTCAAACGCATAACGGTCACCTTGTTCCTCTTCTTCATTGTACACCCTCCCCCTTATTCTTGTCTTGTTTTCTCACACACCTCAAGATAGGGAGCGATGCCTCAGGCCCGTACCTATGATGATTCATACGAAAAGCAATTAATCAGACGCATAAATGGAGTGCCTCGATGCAGCCAAGGAATAATCGTGAAAAACCTGCACGGCTTTTGCCTCCTGCTTCTTTGTTTCCTCCTTGGCTGACTAGGAGTTTAGTGTGTGTAGAGTTGAGACAGCTGTCATCAGCCACACGTCTCTTCACATCTCCAGGTTGTCCAAAATGGTCGACGGGTGAAAAACACAACTTCATATTCTTACTCAGCACATCACCAGTAAAATAGTTTAGTCAAAATGTAATATTTTGCTGCTGTATTTGAAACGCACGCCAGGTCGGTCTTAATCGGAACACATCCTCTCTAGACAGCACAGGAAGTGATGCGTTTTGTGCTTCTGGCGATCACAGAATGGGTTTGTGAGGAGCAAAGCAGATTGGTGGATTACTGCAGCCATCTTTTGACTCTGGCTTTACATGTAGAGCTGTAACAAAACATTTAATTGATTAATCTGAAAATGAATCAGCAGTTATATTGATAAACCATTAATTATTCAATGCCAAATATTTCTCTGGTTTCAGCTTCTCAAATGAGAGGATTTGATGCTTTTCTGTCTTAAATCATTGTAAATTGAATATCTTTGGGTTGTGGTCAGACAATAAAAAAAGCGATTTCAAAAAATCCACTTGGGCTTTGGGAAATATTCTGACATGACGTCATAGACCAAGCAATTAATCATTAAATTGAGAAAATCGAAAATCAATGAGGAGCTAAGGCCAGCAGAATTAATATCACCTTAAAGCAAAATATGGATGTTCAATCAGTGCTGATGGTAAATGTAGTCCACTGACAAAAAACCTATTTCCCAGTGGGTGCTGTATTGCCCAAGAAAAGTGATAGCTCCTGTTCCAGGATGCATTGTGTGGCAAGTTGTGCTACATTACCCGAGCACTCCTTGGCAGGCCATTAAATTAGCAAATTTGATTGACAAATATCACCCCAAAATCGCCCTGCTGGTCTTGGTTTTCCAAGTTTATCTTCGGGATCCTTGAGGAGGAAAACTTTCATGGATAGTAACGCACACACGCGGCTCTTTCTCTTGAGGTTGTCGGCGGCGACAGCGTCCAACATAACTCTCGCCGGCTGAATAAGTGAGTCAGCCAAAACACTGTATAATGTACACTGTAAATAATCCTCCATACCGATCTCTGCACTGTTGGAAACGTAACTAGTTGCAATACAAGCGAAAAAAACGTTTGACAGCTACCAAAGCTGAAGTAGCAC